ACAAGGCAGAGGAGAAAGCCACGTCTCTCCCATCAAACAAACAAACCAGCCCTGCCTGAGCCTGACCATCTTCGAGCCACTCTGGGCAGCGACAGAAGAGTCAGTTTGTTGTTTGCCCACTCGGAGAGGAGATAAGGCCAGGAAATCACAGTTGGCTTCTGCAGTCCTAAAGGGGAAAGGGAGGCTCAATCTGGCAGATGAATCACTCTCTGTTGACTGCTCTCCTTCTCAGTTATTATTCAATTTCATGAGACACCTCCAAGACACACACAAATATTTCCCCCCAGCCCACGAGGACGCTCGATGCTCTCCCACAGATCCCAGCGCTGCCTCGCCAGCCTGCAGGAGCTGTGCAGGTCCCAGGTCCCAAGGCCTGGCAGAGACAATGTCTTGAAAAGGACTTTTGGAAGTCAGTCACTGCCATCACAGCACTGGGACAGGTAGGAAATCTGCAGGCAGGGATGTCGGGCTGAGCCCAGACTGCCTCGTCACAGCTGGATGCAAACTCCTATTTGCATCAGGTTAAAATCCTGAGTAAATTGAAATCAGAGGAACATCTGCTGCTTTTTCATTAAGCTTGTGTTGACACCAGAGGAGGGGAACCTTGGAAGGACAGACAGAAAGGAGGGGGGAAGGTGGATTGAGTCAGCACAGGCTCTGGAGTCACCTCTGGGTAGGAGTCTGGGGCTGGTCCCAGGCTGGGCATTGCAATTTGGGCAAAATGACCTCAAACAAGGAGGTCCCTCCACCTCAGAGAGGGGTCAGTGAACACAGGGTAGGGCTGCCCACCTGGGAAGTCACTCCCTTCCCAGAAATGGGGTCTATGGCACTGCCATGGGAGCTCCTGGGGTTTTGAGAGAGCCTTGCTTGGCTTCTGTGGGGTGGGAGGGAGGGGTGGTGAACATCTGCCTGGGAACTCAGCATCACCAAATCTGCAGCAGATGTACTGTGCTTGTCACATCATTTCTCACTCTTCTTCCAGCCTAAATCCATCGGAGGCGAGGAGGAGTGGAGCCTTTCATCACAGCAAAACCAACACATGCTCGTCCTCGGTGCTGCAAAGCTTCACAACATGACCCTGGGATGCTCCACCAATAAGAGAGGCAAAGCAGCTTTATTTTCACTAGAAATTCCCTCACTTCTCCACACAGTCTCAAGGCTTTTGGGACCTGACATCTCATTCTGGAGTGCCCCTTGTGCAGTGCAGCTGTTTCTAAGCCTCCCTGCCACAACATTCCTCCCGGGGCCTCGAAGCAGCAGGTTCACAAACCAACCCAGCTCAAACAGAAAGGGCCAGACACGTCTGCAAACAGCCATCCCTGCGTCAGAGCTTGTGGGGAGGACTGTTTGTGGAGAAAAAAAACACTGAGGAGTATTTTTTTGGGCTGCCCAGCTCTAGTCACTGCAATCCCCAACACGGGGCTGCCTCGCACAGTCGCTGTTCCCACCACGTCCCACGCTGGGACAGCACCCTCCCCACTGCTCTACTGCTGCACAGTCACACCATCTGCAGCCATGGAAGTGAGAAAAAGCCTTGTCTGCATGGCAGATTATGGACTGCCATGGCTTTTGGGGAGCACAGCTCCGTGGGGAGCCGTGGGCAGGACTGCCCTGTGAGCTCAGATGAGTCCTGGGAGAGCAGGGAAACGATGGACTCCCAGTCCCAGTCCCAAGCCACCAACACATTCAGACCATTCTAGAGGCACAGGTGCCACTTCTGCCTGCTGGAGAGACCAGCGAGTGCCAGTGGCCACCTCAGCCCTGGTGCTGGTCACTGCACTCCAGGGCTAAACCAAGCACCGTGTCAGCTCACAGTGCAGAGCCTCTGCCTTTCCTGCACTCACAGTGCAGCCTCTGCCTTTCCTGCACTCACAGTGCAGCCTCTGCCTTTCCTGCACTCACAGTGCAGAGCCTCTGCCTTTCCTGCACTCACAGTGCAGCCTCTGCCTCTCCTGCACTCACAGAGCTGTCCCTGCAGCTCCCTCCCACATACCCTGCCACCCACCAGCATCACCCCTGATTTCCCAGGCTGTGGCCCATCCTGGCCGTGCAGGGTCCTGCCAGCCCCTCCTGGGGGGCTCACACGAGCTCATTAGGACTAAAGGGTGAGTTAAAGGGCTGTAGTGTGACCTTGGGATTTGTCACTCCCCCCTCACCCGAGGCAGGAATTGGTTTGTCATTTCTCTGGTGATTTTGTCTCCAGCATCCCCAAAGAGAAAGGGACTGTCCCCATTTGTCCAAAGGTGTGTCTGAGTGGCCGTAGGGGTGGCTGGCACAGCGAGTGCCATTGCAAGGCCAGGGATTAACACACCAATTCCTCTGTCTTCACTCTGCTCTTGTGTGTGTTTGGGGCCTGAGCAGAGAGCAATTAGGGCTGACAATGAGCTACAAAGAGCAGTTTGAGATGCTGACCAGGAACAGGGTGGGCAGCAACAGCTGAGAGGTCAGGAGAGCAGAAATACCTTCAGAAAACATGACTCATTCCAGCGGAGAAAAGGATTCTGCTGCTCCTGCCCTGGGCTCTGTTTGTACCAGCTCAATTAACCCTTTGCTGTGCTGCACTAAGGCAAAGGCAGGATGAGGGACAGGGCAGGAGGAACACCTGGCACAGGGCTTGGGCTCTGCCCTGCCTGGAGGGGGGTTAATTCTCCTCCCTCAGACTCTCCACGGTGCCTGGGATGGTACAAAGGGATTTAGAAACCTGCCTTGAGATGGCCTCCTGTTCCCAGCAAACCCTGTGTGCTCCCTGCAAACAAAACCCCCAGCCCTTGCCAGATTTCAAGAGGGATTTGGATGAGGGAATTGTCCCCAAAGCAAGAAGTGCTGTTAATTTTCCCCATCACTGCCATGAGGCTGCTGGAGGAACGAGGTGGGACTCCAGGCAGATGTCCCAGCCCAGCCCAGGTGATGCAGCCAGAGAATTCTCAGCTCTCGTGGATGTTGGGGTGTGATGGGAATAAAGAACACTCACTTTCCTGCTCTGATTCCCCAGGACCTGAAGGAGGAAAATCCTCTGACATGACCATTGCCAGCCCCATCTCTGAGCTAAGGAAGGGAAATGTGTGGGGTGCAGGAATGGGAGCAGCACAAACACCCTCTGAGGGTGGTTCTGCCCTTCCCACCTCCCCCTTGCTGCCTGTCCCTCCTCCCTGGCACCCACTGAGGTGCCCCCATAGGGCATTGCCAGCACCAGACCCTCCAGACCCTGCATCCTGAGCAGGGCAGGGATCCCTGCTGGCTGCCAGCTCCCCAGGCACTGAGAAAAGCAGGCAAGAACTCATCAGAAGTCATCAAACCTTTATAGAATGAACAATAAACTCCAACATTTCATTTTAGACAGACAAGATGGAATTTTTCAGCTTTCCAATGGCAAAAAAACCTTGAAAAATGAAGGTTATTCACCTCATTTTGACTCACTCATTTCTTTTCTTTCCTCCTCTCTGAAGGAAAGAAATGGAAAAAAGAAAAGAACAAAACCTAAAACCTTATCAGAGATGTCTCGTGAGCGTCTTCCACTGAAACCAAGGAGGGAAAAGAGCATCTTGACTTGTTCACTGAGAAACCTTTCATCCCAGCCACTGCATTTTTCATCCCAACCACTGCATTTTTCATCCCAACCAGGGCATCTTTCATCCCAACCACTGCATCTTCCCAAAACATCTCCCCAAAGCCCACCTGAAACATGCCCTGTGCCCACCTCCCTCCCATAGCAATGGCATGGTCTGTATTAAGAGCATCCTGAGCACTGCAGCAGTGCCCCCAGCCCCTGCCTGTGGCCCTGGTTTTGCCCAGCTGGGGGCCAGCTGGGAATTCCAGTTCAAAGTGGAGCTGCCTGATGGAGGCTCAGCCTGCAGGCGCTGCTGAGGGAGCTCCTGGATTAAGGGAAAAAAACCAGGAGTGGCTAAAGATGCAATAAGGGACCCCACATCCAGTAGGACTTTGATCTGGGGGATTGGGGATGAGGCCATCAAGTAAAGGTGGAGAAGGTGGTGAAAGTATAATAAGACACAATTTACAAAGCCTGTTGAATTCATGGATTTTAACTGGAAGGATGATTTATCCAAAGGCTTGGGCCAGAGACTGTATTATTCTTTCTCTCCACCAGCCTCTGCCACACTATTATTTAGGATGATTCAGCCTCCCACTCAGGAGAGGCAAAGTCCACATAACAACTCCACAGCCAGGAGTTTGTCCGATCCTCCACTTTCCAGGGACTTATGGATAGAGCCACACTCCCACAAACCACGCTCTGCTCACCAATAATCCAGCTTGTGTGGAAAAATAAGGCAAAAAAAGCCTCAAACCACTTGATGATTATTTTGTTTGGCCCATTGCTATTAAAAAAATCTCCCAATTCCTCGTTGGATGATTGTTCCTGACGCTGAGCACCAGCCTTGGCTTTGGAGCTATTAAAGCCTCGTGTTAAGTGCCAATGAGTGTTGGGTTTAGGGTTGCTGGGGGAAATCCACCCCATTCCTGCTATTGCTCTGAGCAAAGCCATGGCCTGGGCAGGAAGTGTGGGATGAGCACTTTGGGATGCTCTTGGCACGGCAGGGACTTGCAGACAGAGCTCATTAAAGCCGGGGTGGGGCTGAAATGATGCGGGTTTGGGTCTTGCCCTGTATCTTCATATAATCACAGAATATCCTGAGCTGGAAGGGACCCACCAGGATCATCGAGTCCAACTCCTGGCCCTGCACAGGACACCCCAACAATCCCACCCTGTGCCTGAGAGCGCTGTCCAAACACTCCCTGAGCTCAGTCAGGCTTCAGCCCTGAGCTTTCATGACTGGGGGTTAGAGGAGCAGGAGGAGGTGGATGAGTGAGATGATGTGGATGCAGATTTCACTCCCAGGCAAACCAGAGAAATGAGTTGCTGCCACTTTCTGCCTCTTTTTGCCCAGTCAAGTACCACAATCAACACTCAAAGCTTTATAACCAACCCAGAGGCAACTGTGCGGCGGCGAAGAAAGGGAAGCAGATGAAAAAAACCTCTCTTATTCTTAATTTACTCCAGTTAATTTTAGTCTAATTTGATCACAATGTTCTCCTGGAAAGAGGGGCCCTCCTTTAATAAGGCAGTGCTGGCCACAGAGGCTGCGATGGCGACGTAATCACCCCGTGTGTCGTACAGACTCTCTCTGCTAATTGTCAGGAGGAACTGGAGCTATTCTGCAGCAGGTATGGGATTGCAAAGAGAGATAATTGTAAGCAGATCTAATTAGTAATTATTGCAGGCCTCTCCTAGAAATTGTTTTTTACTTAACTATTCTCCCCCGAGCAGCCGTGGGTGCTGCTGGCAGGGGGACACTGGGTGACACAGGGTGTGGGTGCTGGGCTGGGGGGTCCCTGTCCCCACAGCCTCACCCTGGGATGTGCTGGAGGGCCTCAGCCTTGGCATCGCTGGGAAAGGGAGCAGGGAGACGGGCAGTGAGGCAGAGCTGAGACAGGAGAGGGTGCTCTCGCCGCAGCAATGGAGGTGAGGAGGGATGGGGGGGTGTCCTGGTGCCGGGGGGGCTCACAGGGTGAGGGGTCCTGCTGCCTCCGCCCACATTCCCGGGATGCTGCTCCTCCCGGAGTCCCCAAGAGCAGCAGAAATCAGAAAGGGTTCAGAGGAGAGGAGAAGAGAGGAGACAGGCTGCACAGAAAGCTGGGAGATGGGTGGGAATGGCTCCTATGTCATTATTCAGTCGTGTTCATGGACACAATCCCCACAAACCTTCCTGTGACACAGCTCCCACCCCCAGGAGAGAGCCTGGAGCTCCCAGCCACTGGCACACACCTCAGCACATCGCAGGGCAGCACAGGAGGTGACCAGGTCTGGGGAGGGAAAGGGGCACATGAACACCCAGGGTGGCAGCTGGAAAGAGCTGATTTTGTTCCACAGCAGGTTTTGCCCAAATCAGTCTTTTTTCAGGTCAATTGTAGCAGAATCCTTCATTCCAAAAGGGAAACTTTTCAAACCTCTGCACTTTTCCTTTCCCACCCTTCTGGCTGCCTGTGCACCAGCCAGAGGTACCTTTGAACAGCAAAACACCTTCAAGTCCTGCCTGGGGAGCTGAGACAGAAACCAACAGAGCCAGAAAATGGAGCAGCCTGATCTGAGGAGTCTGTGCACAGAAATCCTTGCTGCAGGAGGTTTCCTGAGCCTGTAATCCCCCTTTTAGCTCTTCTAGAGGCATCACCCAGAGCAGTGGGTGCTCTCTTTCCTCCTCACCCCAACACCATCCTGCTGTGGACACCCTTGTGTCCTGTTGAGATGGCCCTGGGACCACCCGAAGCATTTTGGAGGATGGAAAGGAGAAGATGCACAGCTCGACCTTTGCAGCACAGACAGGCAGGACTTTGACACCAACCTCCCCAAATTTTTTTTGGTGCAACCTCATAAATTAAGCAGAAAAGTATCAATAAGCAGGAAACCTTGGTGATGGAGTGGGAGATGTCCTGGTGTAGTCCTTTCCCTGAAGGCAGGGCTGGGAGATGTGAGGAGTAATTAAACACGGCTACTGAAAGGTGCCCTAAAAGTATTTCATTTCTAAAATCCAGGCTCTCATTACAGGGCTGCACTGATTCTGACCCATATCAGTCTAAACTGTTGCACTATTTTTTAATGTAGTTATTCCCTCCAAGCAGAGCCATCTCCCAGGGCTCTCCTGGGCAGCAGTGTTGGTTCACAGCTGGGATGGGACAACTAGACCAGCACTGCAGGAATTCTCTATGATTGGGGGTTTTTTTGCACAGTATCATTCCATCAGGGAGCACCCACAGAAAGGGGCCTGGAAGCAACACACAAGTGTGAGGGGTGGGGGAACCACCATGGGGGGAGCAGAGAGAGCAGGCAAGGCAAGGCAAGGCACAGCATTCCCATCCTGTCACTTGTGTCCAGAGGGATGCTGAGCCAAGACAGGGATGATAATCTGAGAGCAGGATGCTAATCTGAGAGCAGCATGAGAGTGGGATGCTAATCCAAGAGCAGGAGGCTAATCCAAACCCAGGATGTTAATCTGAGAGTGGGATGCTAATCCAAGAGCAGGAAGCTAATCCAAGATCAGGATGTTAATCTGAGAGTGGGATGCTAATCTGACAGCAGGATGCTAATCCAAGAGCAGGAGGCTAATCCAAGCATAGGGATGCTAATTGGAGAGTGGGATGCTAAACCAGGAGCAGGATGCTAATCCAAGAGCAGGAGGCTATTCTGAAACTGGGCTGCTCATCTGACAGTGGGATGCTAATCTGAGAGCAGAGTGTTAATTTGAGATTGGGATGCTGATCCAAGAGCAGGAGGCTAATCTGAGACTGGGATGCTAATCTGACAGTGGGACACTAATCCAAGAGTGGGAGGCTAATCTGAGAGCAGGCTGCCAAAGGAGAGCCACGTGCTGGTCTGAGAGTGGGATGCTGCCACGAGTGGGATGCTAACCTGACTGCAGGATGGTAATCTGAGAGTGGGATGCTAATCCAAGCACAGAGATGTCCATGTTCCCAACCTGCAGTGCCATCCCTGAAACGAGAGAAGTCCCCCTGGAGCACATGGCTGCGATTCAGCTGCTGGTGGCCACCTGGAGGGCATGGAGAGACCCTCCACCCTCACCCCATGTGTGGCCCAGAGCAGGATGTGCCACATCCTGCTGCGTTATCACCGCAGCTCCCACCTCCCTAATCAGGGCTTCTCACTGCAGACAGTGCCCCTGACCTTGATCCCTTCCAGTCTGAGGCCCCTCCATGGCAAAGTGACTCAATTAAGCCCTGGTTCACAGAGAGGGCTAAAAACAAGGTGGGGGGGGGGGGGAGGAAAAACGAAGTGCCCAACAACAACAAAAATCCTCCCTCCCGAGAACAATTTCCTTCTATGGATTTTTAAGACCAGCGGCTGGAGAATCACTTTCTTGTTTCTGTGCTGTCTCTCCAGTCAATAAATAAGAGGGAAATAAAGGATTTCAGAGAAAATAGAATGCAGTCAAAAGGTAAATTGTGGTCTTAAAAGCTCCTAAGAGACTGTCACCGACTTTGAAATGTTTCCTAGTTTGAGACCATTTCTTCCTGACTACATGGTTTCCGCTCCTTTATTTGCATCTCTGGGAGGTAATCTTTAAAACTGATTTTCCCCTGGTTGCATTTCATTGGCAAAGAAACTAAACAGGCTGCTGCATTACAGTAATAACATCAACACTGCAGCCACCTTCGCCTTAATTATTTCTCTGTCTTACCAACAGGACCAGTTAAAGGAGATTTATATTTGGGTGGGAAGGAGGGGGGAGTGAAGTGGCATGTGTGTGGATGGGTGAGATAACCTGGAAAAACCGATTTATCCCTTGTTAGGTGTCAGAAGCAATAAAAAAAAAAAGTAAAATAATAATAAAAAATACACGAGGTAAAAGGTTTGGGCCATTTAAGTAATAATAATGTCAGCATTTCACCTGTGTCTTGCTTAATTATTTCCTTCTCTCAGCTCCGCCACCTGAACCAGTTTAGATAAGATTTCAGCACGGATAAGGAGGAAGAAGCTGTATTCTCCAAAGCAGATAAGCTGCTTTTTCCAATGGAAAGGAAGAGAACGCGTCACTAAAGCCCTCCTGCTGTCTACTCCAGAGTCATCAACAGCCTCTTAGCAAAAGTCTTGCCACTAAAAGCTTGTGAGGTTTTGCAAAATACTATAAGATAAGAGAAAAGCACTTGTAAAGACAAGGAAGGGAGGCTGGAGTGTGCAAAGCAGCTCCTCACCATCCGTGTCCGGCCAACTCACACTCAGGGTGACCCCAAAAAGCACCAGGGAGGGAGAAACTCGTGTTTAAGGAGAGTCCAGAGGCTCTGCAAAGGTCTCCTTGTACATGCAGGATGTCAAAGCTGCCTTCTGAGTTGGCTCTGCTTGAAAGTTGCCCCCTTCCAGACCTCCTGCTCAGTCCTTTTAGGTCTCCCTCCCTTCCAAGAGATCCACATCCACCTTTTTCCTTCCTCCAAGTGCTTTGGAACAAGGCTGGCTTGCCAGGAGAAGAACTTGGTAGTACATGAAGTCATAGAATCATGGAATCCCAGAATGGTTCAGGTTGGAAGGCACCTTAAAGCTCATCCAGTCCCACCCCCTGCCATGGGCAGGGACACCTCCCACCAGCCCAGGTTGCTCCAAGCCCTGTCCAACCTGGCCTTGGACACTTCCAGGGATGAGGCAGCCACAGCTTCTCTGGGCAACCTGTGCCAGGGCCTGCCCACCCTCCCAGGGAAGAAATCCTTCCCAGAATCCAATTTCTTCCCAATATTCCAATCCAAATCTCTTTCAGTTTAAAGCCATTCCCCCTTGAAGCCCCCCATGGCCTTGGAGCCAGGGAAAGGAGGCAGGCCCAGGGCTCCTGCGTGGCTGGGGCTGGGGGTCTGGCAGCTCAGGGCCCCCCAGGGCTCCCACTCAGGTCCTGGGAGCCACATTCCTGCTGCTCCCTGCAGGCACTTCCAGCTCCAGCCCTGCCAAGCTCCACGTCGGCGGCTGCCAACGCGCCCGGGGAGCCGCAGATGGGCCCTCCCCTGTGTGCAAACACTCCCAGACACCTTGGGACACCCGTGAACAGGCTGCTGGAAGCTCTCCATCCCCGGGAAGGAGAATGGGAGCCACGGAGGGGGGGTTTGGTTGGGTGGGAGACGCTGCCAGGGGGAGGGTGAGGTGCTCTTGGCTGCTCCGCGCTGCACGACATCGCTGGTACCGCGGGGAAACGTTTCAAAAGGGAAAGAAGCAGCTCTCTGGATCTGGGAGCTTCTCCCTTCCGCTTGTACTGCAGAGTTTACTTTTATTATTATGCAGTTTTCCCCCTTCAGCAGCTCAGATGTTCTGCCTGCGTTTTGCTGCTGACCCGCAGGCCAACCCTCAAAGCAGTGTTTGCTCAGGGTTTGGCGTGTGAGGGGCTTTAAAGTCCTTTTTTCTTTTTTTCTTTTTAAACAAATTTAGGGTGGGTGAAAACTTTCCCTCTTGGTTTATAATGGGGCTGGGGAGTGATGCTGCATGTTTGTGCTGGAAGGCAGGAGAGCAGGGGGTGAGGAGGAGGGTGCACCTGAGCAACCTGGTCTGGTGGTGCCCATGGCAGGGGGATGGAACTAGATGAGCTTTAAGGTCCCTTCCAACCAAAACCAGTCTGAGATTTTGGGATTCTGTGATCTCAGTGATGTCAGTAATGAGGGAGAACCAGGTGGAGGGTCAAAGCTGGAATGAAGATGGATAGGAGGGACAGTGGCAGTGGGATTTTCTGGAGGTTGGGGCTCTGAGCAACCTGGTCTAGCAGAAGGTGTCCCTGCCCGTGGAGCCAGAGAAGCTTTAAGGTCCCTTCCAACCCAAACCAGTCTGGGATTCTGGGATTCTGTGGTGATTTCTGGGCCACGATGAGGGGGCAGGGGAGAGGAGACACCTTGTAGCAGGAGCACTGCTTGTACCTGTGCACTCCCCATCCTCACAGGGGGTGAGAAATGTCCCCCAGGAATCGCCACTGACCTCTGTGCTCTCCTTAGGACCCCAAACCTGGAAGCTAATTGGATTCTGCTGCTTCAGCCCCCAACACTGGGGCTGGATTTGGCCCTATGGCTTTTCCCACAGAGCCCTCCTGCTGCCACTTAACGCTTCCGAGCTCCTCCAGCTTCCCTTTGCCTGGCCCTGCCTTCCCACCCTGCCTGATTATATTGGGTCTGCATGTGTAAGTACAGCCTCCTGCCATCCTAATCATCTAAAGTGGCTATTTGAATAACAGTTGTTGGTGCCTGTAGTTTCCTGTAATTTTCCAAAGGAAACAAATCCATGCAGACTGCAATTTTGCGCCTATGAATTTTGAATGAACATCTCTAAGAGCCTCAAATTCTCTCTCTCCCTTCCTTCCTCCCCTCCCCTCTCCTGCTTCCCAGGCCCAGCTGAGCCAGAGGCTGCCATCAGGAGGGTGTGACTGATTGGCTTCTTTCAGCAGGAGGATTTTGGGCTAGGAAGGATCCACTCTCCTTAGGGCAGGCACCAAAGCACGGGGCCACTGGCAGAGCTCACTGGGGAAGCTGGAGAAGGAAGGTGGCTCCTGCCCAAGCAGGGCATGGAGACAGAGGCATCTTTTGAGCCTCAGGTGTCAGGATTTAAACTTGTTTTGTCAGCTCCAAACCAAGCTTGGGAGGTCCCTGTGTACCCAGCTCTGATGGTACCAGCCCTTTGGAGCTGCTGCTGTGGGCCAAGACTCTTCACCTTCTAACCCAGAGGAGCTGGAAGACATTTGTCCTCCTGAGCTGATCTCCAGGATGGTGACAGTCCCTATTTATAACAAAATCCCAGAATGGTTTGGGTTGGAAGGGACCTTAAAGCCCATCTCATTCCACCCCCTGCCATGGGCAGGGACACCTCCCACTAGCCCAGGCTGCTCCAAGCCCCGTCCAACCTGGCCTTGGACACTTCCATGGATGGGGCAGCCACAGCTTCTCTGGGCAATCTGTGCCAGGGCCTCCCCACCCTCACAGGGAACAATTTCTTCCCAGAATCCAATCCAAACCTACTCTGTTTCATTTTAAAGCCATTATAACCCTCTCTCTCTCAAGTTTCCCCTCCCGTTCCTCTGTGTGCAGTTTTATAACACTGAGGGTTCTCCTTTTTTATGACATTGTTGTTTCTAAAGTGTTTTTATCACCTGGTTTTATTACAAAATTACTGTGCAGCCCCCCCAGTGCTGTAGCAGTGAGGAGGGAGAGTGATTCTGGAAATGCAGCAGTTCTTTCCTGAACAGCTTGCCGGGGAAGGGGCTGTGATTTGGTGATGGATGGAGTGCTTCTTATCCGGTATATTTTTATCCATAAATATATAAAGCACTTTGTGATCCCAGTGGATACAAGGCACTATATAAATGTAAATCATTATCATTATCATTAAACACCTCCTGCATCTTTTAAACCTTCCAGTTGGAATCAGATACAAACGGGGCAGCTGCTGTCTGGGTTTTGTTGGTGAACCAAATGTGAGAGCTGCCATTTTTGGCTTCGTTAGCAATTAAATGGGATCTCATGAAAGACCCTTATTTTTCCATCACGATTTTTTTTTCTGTGCTGCCACTGATTTGAAAGTCACTTCTCACCCACTAGGAGAAATCTCTGCAGAATTCCCTAGCAACAACCTGAATAAGAAACAGGCACCTTGGGTCCGTGGATGCTCCCGGATTATCCCAACGCCCCGCGGGATGTCCGGTGTCCATCCCTCTGTGCTGCCGTGAGCTGGGGACGGGGAGAGGATTCCTCGTGTGCTGCCAGGTCACAGGGAGGAGAGTTCAGCCCCTACATGATTTATGACTCAATGCAGATTGGAGACACTTGTCTCCACTGCTATGACTCTGCAGCATTTGTGCTTGGCCGCGGCCCAGCCCTGGAATAACCAACCGGCTGCACAAACCCCCTGGATGTCGCTCCCGTCGCAGGGAAAGAGGCAGGCTGTGCTCAAAACCCAAACTTTCCTGTTTCTGCCTCACCCAGCTCCTTTTTCCTTTTCTTTAAGGGAGGGATTGGAGCCTGAAGGACTCTCTCAAGGTTGCACACGGAGGCTTTGGCAGCACAGAAAGGAACCCGGGACGTGCATTTTTCCATCGAGGCCATAAATCACTGGATTCCCTTTCTGCCCATAGAGCCAAGGATGTTGGGTGTCCCTTCCCAGCATTTCCCCACCCATATTTTGTCACTAAAGCCTGTCTTCCTTCCTACACTTCCAGCAAGGCCACCCAGTGCCAGCTACTGACTGCTTCTCCCTGTGGGAATTCATCTCCAGCTGCATTATCCTACAGTCACAGAATCCCACACTGGGTTGGGTTTGGAGGCACCTTAAAGCTCACCTTGTTCCAACCCCATGCCATGGGCAGGGACACCTTCCACTAGACCAGGTTGCTCCAAGCCTGGCCTTCAACCTCCTGTTTGGGAGTGAGGAGCACAGTCTAAGATAAAAGTGAACTTTCAGTGCATTTTTTCACCCTTCCAGTGATCCACTGGCATTTCCCAAAGGGACATGACTGATGCAGGGCCTGGCTACACTCAGAGCGTAGTGAAGGGCAGGTCCTGACCCCAGGGACTGGGGACTGGCTGTTCCCACCACCCAAGGGATCATCAACAACTATTCACTTCCCCTTGTCACGACAACAGAAGGGATGGAGTTGGAAAGCTTGGATGTGTCCCGTGTCTAAGCCCTGGCCTTTAACCCTCACTAACCTGCCAGCAGTGGCTTACAAAGGTTTTGCAACATTTAGAAACAGAACCAGGTTTTTCCTAGTTCTCTATTTTTTCCCCCTTATTTTTTTCATCCTGTTTTCCCCAGCCTCTCATGAGCTGCAGCCTCCTGCTGCCCAGGGGAAATCTTCCATTTAGCTACATTTTCCTTTCTCATTTCATGCTGTAATGGGGATTCATCATAGGTGTTAAATCCATAATTTGCCATGAATCCCTTGTCTCTCTCTGTGAGGTCAGAGTTGAGGAGTTTAGAGGAACCTGATTGTGTGGCTTCATGCCTGTCCTAGGGGAGAGCACCAACCTAATTCCCAGGAGCAGGAGGAGGCTGGAGAGCCCTGGCTGGGTCATCCAATGCTGTGTCCATACTTTCCACCTCTCTTTGCCACCTGAAGAGGCAAATTTGAGCACACGAGGCACCTTTAGTGTCAAAAAAAGAGTAATAGCTCCTTCCAGAGGGTCATTTGTCCAACCTTTCCTTGGCATGTGAGGAATATCCTGGAGCTTGGGTGGTTATTCGCCTCTTAATTACCAAGGACACCCACAGGTCACTCATTCAGACGTGACTATCCACTTTTGCAGCCCAAGGTGAGCCAAAAGAAATGCCACAGCCCCAAACCCATCCCAGCCCTACCTCTGGACGGGAAGCTGAAATCCATCACACTGACAGGGGCATCCAAAGCCACTGGGAAGTGCCAGGAACAGAGAGCATGGTGATGGATGTGTAACAGAGAGATTCATCACGGGGTTCCCAACCCTTCCTCCCCCACGGGCTGGGACGGGCTGGGCTGGGAGGGCTGAACCCTCCCAAGGCTGGCAGAGCAGCTCGGGGGGCAAGGCTGGGCAACACAACACGGAGCAGGGAAGTGCAAGACGTGCAAGGAGGGCTGGTAAAGCTCTTGGAGCCAGGAAAACACGGCCCTGCAGGCTGGGCACCAGCAGAGAGCCGGGATGGCTCCAGGCAGCCTCTCCCAAAGTGTCTCCTCCGCTCTCCCGGCTGGTCCTGCCCCGCCGAGCCGCCGGGTCGTTTTTCATCGGGGGGATCGATAGCAGAGCGGGGGCCGTCGCTCAGGTGATGTCACGCTCCGAGGGCCTCGTTCCTCTCTGCCAGCTGACAAGGGGAGAGGGAGTCAATACTCGTGTCAGGTCACTAACAACCCGCCGAGCTCCCGGCGGTGACGGATCCGCGGGCTGAGCGGGCTCCGAGCACACCCCGGCGCCCCGATCTATACCCCATCCGTGGGTGCGCCTGGGAGAGGCACCAGCGGAGCTCTGGGAGCACAGGTGCGGATCCAGAGGAGCACGGGCAGGATGCAGATGGGGGAGTTGTGTCTTGATTGGCAAGAGGGAGAATTGTGCGTGGGCGTGCACGGCACAGAGAGCTCCGCACGTGCGGGTGATGCCGAATGCAAGGTGTCAGCGATCCAAAAGGGCATGAAGCAGAATAATGTCCCCTGTCCACAGGCATTGCAGAGAGCAGGAGCTGCTGGATGCAGCGTGTGCTGCGAAGGGAAAGGCTGGTGCGATGCAGAGGGAGCTCTGGCTCCCCCATGGTTCGTGCAAACAGAGGGGGATTTAGGGGTGGGACACTGGGGGGTTGTGCCCAGAGCAGGAGAGGGGGCAGACACAAGTCCAAGTGATGAGCACAGAGGGATCCTGACACACAGCAAACACCCCCACACCACCTCACAGCGACCTCACAGCCATTGCAGCTCATGGCTCCAGTGCCAGGGGCGGGGGCAGAGCCAGCCAGAGGGGCTGGGGGGAGGGAAGGGGATGACAGAGAATCAGAAAGGCTTTTTTATCAGCCCTCTGTGCTTTGCATCCATCAGGTGAGTCCAGACCTGCAGACTCTGTGCAGAGAAGGCAAATGCTTCGTGTTCGATAAGAACACGGGTCAGGACCGCGATGCCCTCCCGGCCCCGAGACAAGGAATCACAGATTGGGGTGGGAACCCGGACATTAATCATTCCCAGCTGCATCTCTTCCCGTTTACTCTCTGGTCCTTCAGTCTTCAGCGTGCTGGAAGGATCACTGCTGTGGTTCTGGGGATTTGAGGAAGGGGAGATTTGATGGGAGAGGCGGCATCACCCAACCCCGGGGCCCAGGGCTGTAAGAAAACAGAAATTTTGCAAATGTGTGAGCCCAGAACCTGGAGCAGGGTTTGAGGGAACAGAGGCAGCATCTGCTTAGTGCTGGCCTGGCCCTGCTGAGCTTCCCTTTGTGTGATTAAACAGCAGCCCCTGCTCAGATATAACCTTGTCCTGTCAGGAAGGACACGGACCTTTCGGAGTGGGTCCAGAGGAGGCCACAGAGATTCTCCAAAGGCTGGAGCCCCTCTGCTCTGGAGCCAGGCTGGGAGAGCTGGGGGGGTTCATCTGGAAAAGAGAAGGCTCCAGGGGGACCTGAGAGCCCCTTCCAGGGCCTAAAGGGGCTCCAGGAGAGCTGGAGAGGGACTGGGGACAAGGGATGGAGGGACAGGACACAGGGAATGGCTTCCCACTGCCAGGGGGCACGGAGAGATGGGATATTGGGAAGGAATTGTTGGCTGTGAGGGTGGGGAGGCCCTGGCACAGGTTGCCCAGAGAAGCTGTGGCTGCCCCATCCCTGGAAGTGTCCAAGGCCAGGCTGGACGGGGCTTGTGGAAGCAACCTGGGCTAGTGGAAGGTGTCCCTGCCCCTCCAACCCAAACCATTCCATGATTCTGATGCTATTTATCATTTTTAATGCCCGTAATGTAAAACAAAGCCCTTTCTTAGCTTTGTTCTCCCCATTTGTATGATCAGAAAGTCGTTATTGTGCCGCAGCAGAGCCTGAGACAGGCGGACGTGTCCCATGGAATGTTTCACCTTTGGCCACACCACAGCCAGGATGTGCTTCATGGCCATGGGATGGTGGAATTTTGCTTGTCTCCTTCAGACTACAGAGAATGGAGCTGGTGCAGTTGCTGCCTTTCTCCTCCAGACAGACAGGGAGCCAACGACCCTGGAAAGGAGGAAGCAGCACTTCCCAACACCCGGATGAAACCCACCTTGGGAGGACCCATCTCTAGACCCAGTTTTTTAGCCCACAGTCCCTCTCTTTGGGCTGGTTTCCATCTCTAGGCTGCACGAGGCAGAACTGCCTTTCCCCTGGAATTTGCACAGACCCTGCTTTGCCTGGCTGGGCCCGGTGAATCCCACAGGGATGCCTTCCCACCCCAGAGCCACACAGGGACACGAGCAAGGAAACCTGGCCACCCTCTGCTATCAAAGGGAGCCGGCTCAGAGTGCTGTAAACTTAAGCTGCTCAGACATGACATCAAATATTTAGGTTATTTGGGATTTGTGCTCGATTGTTTGATGTTTCTGTTTCATTCCCAGCAGAGCCGGTTGCTGTTTTGCCACTGAAAATATTCCCAGCAGAAAATGCAGCTTTGTGAAGGCCCAAACTTGTTCAAGGAGAAGAGACTGTCTGGAAGAAAATGATCACATTTTCATCACTTCTTTTTTTTTTGTTCTGAATTGACATCCTGGCTCTACATGCTCTGAATTTTGCATTCAGAGAATTGAGTTCTATTAAAAAGTGTGGAGAAAAGGTTCCAAGCTGAACAGTTTCTGGATTTGAAACATCACCTCGTTACATTTCCTCCTTGCAGATCAGCATTACAAACAAATACTGAAAAATGGCCTTTCCCAGGCCATAACCTCTTTATTTCCTGATCAGACTCTGCTAAAGAGCAGGAAAGCTGGGAAATGCAGATGTCTCAAGCTGCCAGCCATCATTTTGTTAATGGAGATGCTTCCTCTGCTCTGCAGGGGAGCACTGGGAAGACTTGGCAAAGAAGAGGATTGGAATAAAATAAAAAATTAAATAGAAAGAGGGAAATGGTTGTGATTGAACGTGGTTGCACTTGGCACCCCAGTGACCTTCCTTTTCTCCCATCCCTGACTTGTGCCATTGTCAGAGACAGGAGCTCTGGCTCCAAATTAACTTAATCTGTAGAGTTAAATAATTCATGTTGATTTAAGAAAGCTTTATTCCTAATGGGACACAAGTGAAGGCAGAGTTAATATTAGAAGAGACCATGGAGGGGGAGGAGGGAGGGAATTAGACTATAAAAGGTGAAGGTACAAGTTAATTGCCTATCAATTATTCACCTTAAGCCTCTGGAAGTAGCAACCCTGCCTCCCTCCTCACACCCTCATATCCCATTTTCCTGGTTGCCACCACGTTCCCACTGGCACCTCTGGCACCAACCTTTTCCCCATGACAAGCAGGAGCTTCCCGGGACAGTCTATGCTCGTGGCAGGGCTGGAGGTGTCACATCTCCTGCTGGGAGGACAGACCAGGACAGGCCCGGGATGCTCCTGCCAAGGCACCAGTGAAGGAGAGGAACCATCCAGGTTCCAACAGCTCATCATCCACCCGCTCCACTCGCCCCGGCCTCCTCCATCCTCCCAGCACGGCGGCTCCTGCCCAGCCTGGTCACGGAGGGTCCCTGTGCTCCCCTCTCCCTTCCCCTCTGCTCCCTCCAGGGGAAGCCAGTGCTCTCTTCACAGTTGCTCCTCTCTTGGCTGCCTCCGAGATCTGGGAACTCAACACTAATTAACGGGCCTGTAAATCCCAGCTCGGCTGGAGGGGCCTCGAATTCCTTCCCGGTCCCCCGAGTGCGGAGGGATCCACGAGCGAGCCCCGCGGCTCCTCCAGCTCCACGGCTGGCAGAGGCATATTTTAACAACACACAGCTGCTGGCAATGTAATCCCTTGTATTTGCCCTCCCTGCTCGGAGCTTTGATGGAAGACCAGAGGGAGCTCTCCAGTGGTTACAGCCAAAGTGTTTGCTTTGCAATTTCGCTCGGTTGCTGCCTGATTTTATTTTTAAATTTCTCCGAGTCCTAATCAGGCTCTTACTTTATTTAATTAATACCCCGGCTTAGTTAAATAGATCATAAATTAAGCAGCCCTGCCATAAAAGATGTACCAGGTAGCAAATAGCCCTCCTGTGGCTTCCCAAAGCCTGCCTGGCTTGGGGTCCCCTGTCAAACTGCCTTGACATCCTTGACTTGCAGAAAACATGGATGCTGCCACATCTCCCAAATCCCATCCCATCAGCTCTGTCAGCCTTCCCTGCTGGGGCAGAGATCCCAAGAACATTGGGCAGTGACTCCTTCCCCAGACAATTTGGATAATGGTAGCAGGAAGGTGAGGGAGAACCGGAGAAGGGGGGCCCTCCAGCTTTGGGATGGGTTGTAGCCACATTCCCAAGGAATATTTGTCGCTGAGACTCCACAAAGAAAAGCTTTTCCCTGATGCTGATGACACTAATAGGCTCATCCGTTTGAATGTTTGGACTTCCAAGGCTATGGAATGATCTGTTCCACTACATTTAACCATGTAGATTTGAAAACAATGTGACAAAACCTTAAATATTTAATTAAAATATGGTGTAGCTCTGCATCTGAGCAGGGAAGTAGGAGACATCAGCCCCATAAAGCTGTTGTCAGACATGAATGACAGCAGTTGGAGCTTGGATTGGGAGGCATTGGGGGATATCTTGATACCAAGGAAGTGGAAAAGCTGGCAAGAACAGACAAGGCAGCACCAACCCATGTAAAAATAACAGGCAAGGTATTTTCCAGAGACAAGGCTGGGGGTGATGGAGCAGGATGGGGCTCCCCAGAACTGCCTCCAACACCCAGCTTGGCTGATGAGCCCCTCGGGTCGTTGGCAAACCAGCAGCAGACATCGGGCTCCCAGTCACCAGCCCCTCCCAGTCACCAGCCCCTCCCAGTCACCAGCCCCTCCCAGTCACCAGCCCCTCCCAACTCTGCCCTGTCTGTGGCAAATCCTTTCCTTGAGAGCTGTCCCAGATCCAGGGATGCCCAGGTGATGTCTGCAGTCTCAGGTGAAACTGGGCACACAGGGATGAAGGAACACCCCACAAGCATCTTCCATTGAGGCAGCGCAGGCAGCCTCGGCACATCCCTTCCCAGCCCAGCGAGAGGAAACCTGGGAGATCCACACCCCTCTGGAGCAGCTGCCTGGCTCACAGCTAAATAGGCTCGTGCACCAGCTCCTAAGAGGAGCAATGTGTGCACAGCTGGTGGCACTGCACATCTGGAACCGCCGGAAATGTCCCTCCCTTGCTCTGCACAAACGTGACACGCAGCGAGTTCAGCCTGACAGGCTGCACATTGCACCGGCTGCCAGAGCCAGCGCTGGCTCCCAAAACACGGCCTGTTGAGGCACCCGCCCCTCCTGTGCCATTTCTATCCCCTCCACTGGGGTGGTTGAAACACAGAGCACAGACCCCTCCCCGTGGCAGCTTTGCCGGCGCTGCAGGACACACTGTCCCACCCCAAAGGTGGCACAGTGGGAGCCGCTGGTCACCAGCCATCCCGTGGCCCCTCTCCAAGCGTGGGATGATCCCTCCTGCCCTCCCCAGTCCCCCTAAATTTCACGTAATCACAGAATCGCCCAAACTGGAAGGGATCCACAAGGATCATCGAGTCCAACTCCTGGCCCTGCAGGGACACCCCAACAATCCCACCCTGTGCCTGAGAATGTTGTCCAAACACTCCTTGAACTCTGGCAGCCTTGGGGCCACGACCATTTTTTCCCCCCCAGAACATCTGCATAAATACACCTAAAGTGAAAGATGAGCCACCAGTGGGTTCCAAACCCCCATTTTCTCACCAGTTCGGCCTAAGCTGAACATCCTCTAACTTTAATTTTCTTAAAAGGAAAACACTCTGCAAATATAAGTTGCTGAACATCTTAGGTAAATGTACCAATTAGCAACTACCATGTATATCCACATAAACATTAACTACCATCTATTCAACACATTCCATAACCCCAAAGATAATAACGATTTCCTTTTGATCCATAAAAACATCTCTCTGCTCAATCAACGCTTCGCGGCGGCTCTGACGTACGCCCTGGGACTAAATTAGTTTTGAAATCTTTAGCTCTAATTAAATAACATTATTTCTTTTGTCTGGGCTCCGGCAACTTTGACAACAGGAGGAGGGAGCCCGGGCGAAGGAGGGGCTGTCGGAGAGCAAGGCAACGTTCCCGCTCTCCGGCTCATTCCCGGGATTCTTTCATGTGTGGGCACTTGTCAGAGCTCGGAGCTGCTGCCAGGGGTTGATTGAGCAGAAGGAGGGATCAAAGGAAAATCATCATTATGGTGGGGGTCAGGGAAGGAAGGGATGGCAGCTGTGTAAGTTCAGGGGTAGGGAATGTTGGAGAGTTGTGGAGAGAGGAAAAACAGACACGGGGGAAACTGCAACCCCAAAATTAGAACTTGTTTTCGTGGGGAGGTGCAGGCTCTGGTGAGGTGAACCTTCAACCACCACCAGTACCTTAATTCACTTCTTTTGGCTGCTTAAAACTAATTAGTGCTGATCTGACTAAAAGCACTGAAAATCTTGCATCTTTTTAAAAGCTTTTCTTTTTCCCTTGGAAATTACCCAGGGGAAAAAAAAAACCAAAAAACCAACCAACAGCAAAAAAACCCCAAATCCAAACTTCAATTTAAAGAAACTTCAGTATGCAAATGGTTTCAACTTTGAGGGTTGAATAATCAGGATGGATCTGGGAGCAGCAGTACAGGCTGGGTTTTGTCCAAGCTTTTCAAGAAAAATCCCATTTTCATTAACTTCTCGGAAGCCTCGTGCGTTCCGGGAAGCCTCGTGCGTTCCGGGAAGCCTCGCTGACACAGCCTTTTCCCAGCACTCCTGGAAGGAGACCCCCCTGCACCAGCTGCCAACAGGGCCCTCTGGATCTGCCAGAGCTCCTCTCCCATCTCCCACCCATAAAGAGTCTTTATAAGATTTTGGGAGCCACTCCTAGTTTGCAATCCCATGCAACACCCTCCTGTGCTGCTCATGGGAAGGATTAATTACTGAGAAATGCAGGATGATCGAATATTAATACAAAGAGAGGATGAAAATACTGCAGTAGTGAGGAACCAGCCTTTCCTCCAGTGGTGGATTCATCCTGGTCCTGCTGCAGAGCAGTGCTGCAGGAAGGGCATCATTGTGATGACACTGACACTACATATCCTTAAATTTATGGACATGCACTCCCCAGCTGGCGTGTAAATTCACAGAGCTGAAGTGCCAAACACTTGGTGCCTCTGTTACTCATCCCAGGGTTGCTGTGCTCCATCCCTGAAGTGCTTCACTCCCTGAACAGCTTCCCTTGCTCCCGTTCTCAGGATTGAGCTGCACCCCCACTGCTCTCACCATGGATTAATTTCCACAAATTCATTCCCATTTTCTCTTGATTGAGCAACAACACCTTCTGTCCCAAAGCCTCCCGGGGTGACCACAAGGACAAAAATTCCCCCTGGAGCGACGGGGAGACTCACCCAGGACGGTCAGCCGGGCAGGTCGGGATCGGATGGCAGCCTGGATGGCCTGGCACTCGTACACGGCGTCATCCTGGAGATCAGCCCTCAGGATTTTCAAGTGGTGCTGTCCCGACAGATGGTCTCCTACCACCAGGTAGCGTGGGTAACCTGCCGGGCACAGCGCACGGGTCAGGAGATGGAGCGACGAGCCCGAGGATGGAGAGCACAGACCCAGAGCCC